ACATTGGTGAGTAAATGAATTTTATTTTACATTTCTTCTTGTCATTTTATTTCGTTAGTATTAAATTCATGGTAATGAAATAAAATGACAAAGATACAAAAATGTATCAAATAAATCTGCTCACCTGCAATTTATAATGGCGCATTGTAGTCACCTTCGTGCACGAAAGTTCGTTCAATCTCAGCTGCTCAACATTTTCAGTTATTTGCTGTTGTATCGCCGATTTTCAAAATGCAAATGATCTGTTTAATTTATTTTCAAAGAATAATTTGTTTTGTTATTGTTTGATTGGTGTCTTATATGAAACTGCGACATTGCGCAATTTATTGGACAGACTTGTTTAAGATCACACAGCGTAATTTGGGTGGTATTTTATTTAGTATTTTTAAATCATCTTTTTATTTTTGACAATATCTGTAAATTTAGTTTCCTGCTCTTAATTGTGAATGCATACTGTACTTGATGGTTTCAAATGCTCCTGAAATTAAGTGCTGCTTGACGAGCCTATATTGTGTATGTATGTGACGTCACTGAAGGCCTAAGGTAGGAATGCATGGCCCGCCACTGACTGTATTACTGTTTGATTGTTTTGCTTTAAAGACTCATGTATTTATTTATTTACTTATTTATTTATGTCAGCCGCATAGTGTCCATTTTTACTTTTCATGAAGACACTACATTAAAATAAAGTTAGTGTATAATAGAAAGTTGAAATACAAAATATTAATCGAAATCTATCCATTCATTTTTCTATCGTGCTTGTGCTCATTTGGGTTGCAGATAACTGGAGCTTATTCCAATTGACTGGGTGAAAATATATCCACGTTTCACTGGTCACCAGTCAATTTCATGTGTTACTGTAAACCACCTGTGCCACAGTTCTGCCTTAATTGAAATCCATCCATCTTCTGTACTATGGAGAGAAATGAGGGAACTTAAAAATGTAACAAAAAGTTAATGTAATTTTGAAATCAAAGTACCGGTACTGATGGCTGTGATGTGTGTGTTGTCACGCTTTTCCATTGGGTAGAAACTGTGGTGCGGAACAAACGTCTGTTGTACAAAGAAAATGTAGGTTTATTACCAAGATTTTACACTGTGCTTTGAAAAGTGACAAATATTTAATAGTAAATCGACAGTGTTAACATGTGAATCATTAATATTCTTGTAAATACGCCGGCAGTCAAATGGCAACCATGTAAATGCTGAGTATTAACCCAAGAGGAAGTAGTTTGGTACAGAGGTTCAGGATACAGGGCAGAGCAGCTGACTGGGTAACGGGCGGGTTATATGATAAGAAAGCAACAGAAAAGATTTCGTAGTTCCAATGCACTTGATATTTGTCTTTTTTGCAGGAAGACTGCTTTCACAACAATTTATAATTAAAGCAAATCAGACTCCTCAAAATAATCGCCTCCAACAATATATTTTTACCTTCATATTGCCATCTTGACATTAACAATCACATTCAACATTTTATAAGACCAATCAAAATATTTGATAATTTGGCTAATATTTCTTTATTGCATGAATATTTTGAGATATCAAAAGTGCAGATTACAAACTGATTTAAAAGAAGTAGGTGAATTTAGTGGAAGTGAGCTTTTAAGTCTTGGTAGTGTTCTGATATTCATGCACTCCGGTTGACATGCTTTAGAATAGTGTACAGAATTCACAAATATTATCACACGGGTGGTTACTCTATTTACAGTCACCATGAGTCACAATGCAAAATGACCTTAAAGTTATTTCAACAAAATGTCTCAAACAAAAGACTGAGAACTACAGAGTAGTATTTTTCCACTTCAACCTGTTCAGCTTTAGCACATTATATATTCTTTGCTTTCGGTTTCGTTTCATCTAAAACAAATTTTGCCTTAAATCCTGTTTTAGTTATTTGCAACGATAGAAGAAAAAAACAGAACCGTTTGGGGAATATTTAGATTGATCCACTTAAAACCTTTTGAAAACTTCAATATGCTGTATTGACCTTTTTGAGAACTCATGATGGTAATATTAAGGCACACATGGACAAACCTGACAGTTTCGAAGTATTTGAATATCATCATAGGCTCATGTCAAACAGCTCCATTGTTCAACAGACAATTAAAAGCAGACAAAGCTTTTGTTTTTTCAGATTGAAAAGTGAAATACTGTAATACCTAAGTCAAAATAACAGCATTCAAGAGCAAATACAGAACCGGTATGACAGGGATTACTAAAAACATGCACTTTGTAGTTGAGTAAAAGAACAATAAATAAAACAGGTCTGGCTGTATTTCTAACTAATTCCGGTGGCCACAAGCATTTGATGTTACATCCAACACAGCGGTGAGAAGATGCACAGTGAAAATCAGTCAAGTGAGCTGATGAAGGATCACACGGATTGTAGCCATCACATCATTTCAAAATAAACCTGACACAAAACAAAAATGTTGCTCACTTGTCATCAGATAGAAATGAGAGTTACGGTATGAGGACGTTTACTCTGCTAATACCAGATGATATAATTGTGAATGTCTGTAAACCACTGAATGACTGTGATCATGCCCTCACAATGAGACTCAAAGACATTGAAAATCATCTAGTTAATACTCAAAGAAGTGGGCCGCAGGGTTTTTCAACACGTACTGTAATTGTTGTCATGTTGCACAATTCAAGAAGTAAATTATTAAAAGGCTCAAAAACAGACATCTGAATGCGATGTGAAGTCATGAAATCCATAATTATGGCTGGGGTGCTTCATTTAAGTCACGGCAAGACTACAATCGTAGGACAATTGTAGTCTCATCACTACCCTTTGATGACTGCAAGGTGACACTACAAAGCAGGGGCGTCAAACTCATTTTTGTCGTGGGCCACGTTATAGTTGTCGGTTCCCTTGGAGGGCCCTTATGACTGTGAAACCATATAAAGAAGTCAAGAATAATGGTTTATTCAACTATAGTTTAAATTACTGTAATGAGGGTTTTGGTAACAAGAAAACTTACAATAGCTCTCTTATATATTACATACAAGAATTTGAAATTTTGGTACAAATTTTAGGAAGCATCATAGAAGTCAACATGTTTGATTTGCTTTCGCGGCCGCATGTGGTGGGCCAGATCTGGCCCCCGGTCCTTGAGTTTGACACCTGTGCTGTAAAGTGTCGGTCACTTGCTGTGCTGCTCATTAGCACCCAGAGCAGCCTCTGATTAGTTGCCTGACTATATGCAAGGAAGGCAAAGGAACAGCAAGGCTTGTGGCAGCCCATACATCACAAAAATCCAATTTGAGGTTGTAATATGCATTAACACATTTCAACTACATTTTATACTTGCTCCACCAAAATTCAAATTGAAAGGCTTGTGACACATATAAATCTTGGGTCTGACATTGCCAACCAAGACAAGTTACAAGAGCATTCTCTTAAGGTTCTAGTTAGACCTGATGCCATGAGAAACTAACTACTGTTTACTATATAAACAATGTCAATTTGAGAAGAAAAAAAATACAGAAATTGGACAAAATACTCATCAGAACATGTATAACTAGAATATAAATTCATGCATTGGTCTTTTTCAAAGACACAATGTACCCTGCCCCTAGAATCACAAACCATTTGCTCCGTCAGACAATTTCAACAGATTTCAGAATGTCATCAAATTATGTCACCACCCAATATTTTTATCACAGCCCTGTCTCTTACGGACAAAACTGTTGGTTTCAACATTTTAATGTGAACTTCAAGCATGTAAAACATATGCAGAGCCAAATGCTTCAATAGAAACTGTATGCCATTTTAGCGCGGTCCATGTGAAAGGTCGGCATGCCATGAACTGTAAGTCAACGGAGAGGATAGCTGAGGAATTCAGCAGAAACCATTAGAAAAATACAATGTGCGTCTTTCTACCTACACAACTATATTCCAACAGCATCTTTGAATACAGTGGTACCTCTACTTATGAAATTCATTGGTTCTGGAAGACTTTTCTTAACTAGAAAACTTTTTAAGTTGAGATGCATTTTCCATGCAAATGCCCTAATTTGTTCCAAGCCCCCCCAAAATTCAGACATAACTGGTTCGTAAAGCATAAAAATGCATGAAAATATGTAACAAATACATGTTACAATTAGATTGCTGCACAATAAATGAGTTGTGCATAATGTATAAAACAAAGAATAAAGAATAAAAATGATGGTCATTTAACTTTTGACTGTGTCATCATCGTTTTTTGCCCTCATTAGTCCATGTTCTCTCTCAGAAGTGGTGTTTTGTAAAGAAGTGATACAAGGACGTTTGCTTTTGTCGGCTTTTAACAATCCTTTGAAAGTGTCCAAGGCAAATAACAAGAGTGAGTGGTCGCCCGACCGGTGAACAATTTTTCTGGGTGATTCACATTGACGTCGGAACGCCTCATGGCCCGAGGAGTGAATGACGAGGACACTGCATAGACACATATCTATCTATCTACACACATAGACACATACGGTGGAGGTCCCTCTTAGCGCCTGGGATGCCAGGATGATGCTCGGTAATAGCCAATGGCAGAGCAGCGATAAGTATGTTGCGTTCAGGAAACTCGGAGCTGCGAGTAGCAGGCCATACTGTATTTTGTATTTTGAAATTTCTTTCGTAACAAGAGGCAATATTTTCTTGTTGAGATGTTTCGTATGAAGAGACGTTCATAAGGAGAGGTACCACTGTACTTGCCTCTTACAAGGTGGGTTTTAAACTGATCTACAACAGGGGTTTTAAATTGTGTGGTTAATTGGCTGCATTTAAGGCCTGGGATGTCAATACACATTTGAATTTATGACCTTTACCTTTAAAATAGCAGAAGGTACTTTCATATCTTTTCATATCTTTATGTCATTCTTGAAACTGACTGCCCTGATTATACCTGTAAACACAACCATAATACCAGAAAATACAAAATATGTCATGTTAAAAAATATCGATATATATATTTTTTTGTCTCCCATAAAAATATTCATGAAACAATCCAATAAGCTGATCACTGAAATGACCAACAACAACATCAACAACAAAAATCGGACATGTCCCCCATCCTGCTTCATGTAGTAAAAATGCTCTCTTGTACCAGCCCTCAGCATCATTCCAGAAGTTTGAGGCTGACCGGGGCATCAGAGGTGGCTGTCTGATTCACATTTGTCAGCAGTTCCATTTTCCAGTGGCCAAGTAGAAAGTCCTCGTTCGATGAAGTTGATGTTGCTCTCGTTCAACCGTCGTACACGGTATGTTTCATAGTGGATGTTGTGTGTCACGTCTTTCAGGTCCTGCAGGTGAGACCTTCCAAGGAAGAGTAAAAATAAAAGATGGTCAAAGTGACGGAATATTGTTTGACTTCACCTCCTCAAATATTTAAGTGAAACTATTGTCAGCTGGGCAGCCCGGTGATACAGTGGTTAGCATGTCGACCTCACAGCGCAGAGGTCGTGGGTTTGATCTCGGCTGCGGCCTCCCTGGGAGGAGTTTGCATGTTTTCTCCGGGCCTGCCTGGGTTTTCTCCAGGCACTCCGGTTTCCTCCCACATTCCAAAAAAACATGCATGGCAGACTGATTGAACACTCTAAATTGTCCGTTGGTGTGAATGTGAGCGTGGATGGTTGTTTGTCTCTGTGTGCCCTGTGATTGGCTGGCAACTGGTTCAGACTGTCCCCCGCCTACTGCCCGAAGACAGCTTGGATAGGCTCCAGCACCCCCCTTGTGAGGATTAGGTGGATTGGAAAATGGATGGATGGATATTGTCTCCTGATATCACTGGTCAACATTAAATTTTAATCAGTGTTGGCTTTATGTGTTCCTATCTATTTTTTACGCTGAATGAAAAAATGATAGAACATCATGTTTTTGACATATATATATATATCTTTTTTTTAAGTTTGACCTGTAAAAGCTTGCGTAATACAGATTTTACGATGCAATGTAATGTATAGCTATCATATTTCAGAAAAAAATCCACGTGGTACTGAACCTAACCTTTAATTCATAAATATTACTAAATACAGGATATTACTATATTGCATATGATAATAAAAACAATAATCATAATCATGACAAAGTATGATGATGATTATTAAAACCCAGTGCACTCGAGAAAAAAGGGCAGATTTGCAAAAAAAAAAAAAAAAAAAAATCTCATAAATTTTCTTGCACCTGTGATTTAAAACAAATTTGTGTGAAGTGTAATCATCATACTATTCCAAACACACTATCTCCAACACTTCCCGATAACCACAAAACAGAATTTCCTGAAGCTTATTCACATGATGACTAGACTTCACATTGATCTGATTGACTGGATTGAAATCGGTCGATATTTAGCATTTTTATCACTGATGTACAATCTATCAATGACGTCATTGATCGGATCCACGAAATAAGTCATTACAACAAACACAACCTCGTTCACTCCAGCGTGGTTCTATATTGGCATCGTATTAATCCAAAAGTGAATCTATTTTCAGCCTAGTCAGGTGTCAAGTGGTCGGAAAGTCTTTGCGCTGGGAGGCGGAAGTTCCGCCTCTGCGCCCTATCCAATCACAAAGTAGAGCATTCATATATTTTATTTTATTTTTGACCGGTAAAAAAAAAAAAAAAAAAAAATTCATTTATGATCAAAAAATAACTACATACAGAATGTGTGTTATTTAACGTCTCTGTAATTCAAAATACCTTTCATCACTCTGCATAATTAACGTGAATTTATGGCCATGTTCAGCCAATCACAGATGCAACCATGGCAAACATAGTAGGTCCGTTGTGGACAGGCGCACTAAACTTTTGCCAAACAACGATACGAGATATACTACGACCATGCCAAACGTGAGTTGAGCAATTCTCGCTTACATATACAATAAGGTAAAAGGGAAAGCCAAGGCCACCTGAATGACTGGCGATGTTCATGAATTTTTTTCATGAATGTCAGAGAAGGAGGTGTTGTAAAAAGTGACAAGGATGCAAGGGAATCTCAAAATTTTGAATCCAAATCTAAGGGGCCTTATTGTTCTATTAGGAGTGAGATGAGGCTATTTTGTGAGACATCTGTGAGGAATCGATTTTCCTGATTTTTCAAAAAGCAAAGGTGAAGATACTACTTTTCTCCACCAGATGGCAGCGTGTAGCCAATTTGTTGTGGTGAGTCAGCAGGCTTAAGCATTCAGCAGAGTCTCACTACGTCATCCGAATGAGTCAGTCAGTACCTTAGCGACGCAGTAGGCTCTTTCTGAAATAAATGTCGGAAAGAAAGACTGACTGCCTTTCATCTGGCTGCTATGATTGAAGTACAGTACATGATTCAACTGATGTATTGTTTATGGTTTATATTGTTTAGAATTATTTCAAAATGTTATAAGAAAACAATGTACTGTTTCAGAAAAATACCAATAACCTTGATATTGAATCGCAAATCGCAGTATCATCAATCATTGGGATATAAATCTAATTGTCACACAAGTATTGTTATTTGAATTGAATCGGGAGGTAAGTGAATCGTCCCACCTCTAATGGCTACCCCTTGCAAAATCATCATTTTTAGGGCTGCGTAAAGGAATTCCTGTAATCCCCATTTATGAGCAGATTAGTTCCCTGACATTGCAGTGAAAGAGAGAATAGACAGGTTCTTATGTAATTGATAATCCCGAGTGATCTGTGCTCACCTCAAGTTCTTAACAACACCACAGATCAATTGGGATGAGGTAATTAAGGCTGTACTCGCACCTGAAAAGCCATTCAGTTATTTGACAAAAAGCAAACGTAATTTGTTTTCGTTTGGTGCGGGTTGTGTTCACGCTGTACTTTTTGCAAGTGAACTATAGTTCATGTCGACACGTGACGGCTGGTGCTCCCATTGGACAGAAATGACGAGAGTGGTTTAAAGTGGATCCAACAGCGGGTGTGACTACATCCCAAGACTCTGACACTTGCACGAGAGTCTCATGGCTTCAAACATTAAATTTAAATTAAAACAATAAAAACATTTGGTAGCTTCTAGCTTTAAACGCTTCCAGTACAGTACCTACATGCACAAGAGTTTCTAAACCAGCCACTAGAGGTCACAAGCCAGTGTATTTCAAGTGCCCACCCCAAGCCCGGTAAAGAATAATTTCGGGAGAGTTTCTCTTAACTCCAATTCGAAAAAACTCGGTCCCTTTTTGTGGTCCTCAAAAACTCACATGCCATCTCATTTGTGAAACAAAAAAAAAAAAAAAAAAGAAAGAAATGACATATTCGGAGAAGACAAGCTCACCTGATAAGGAGATCTCGCAGATTGGCAAACTCACAGTGTGCCACGTTTTCAACTGTAAAAAGAGCGACATAAATAATCATTTATTTGATCAAAAATGAAACAAAGTGATCAGAATATACAGCATCATAATATCATCTCATTGACTTTTAGTTGCTTTGCATAGGAATAGTTGGTTCTTTGCGATGCGTGCCTACCCATCAAATATGAAATTACACAACAGAGTAAATCTTCGGTGAGCCACCTGTGTCCGAAAATGTGACTGTAAGCAAGCAGCTCTAAAATTTTGCTGGAGAGTGGGCCTAATATAGCCTAACGATCACCGCACAGTGACTTTATCCACTCTTGACTAGGCAGCTAACCTATGTGAACACTTTCAAGCCACGGCTGGACTACACCGTTTGAAATTGTACGTTAAAGCCTTAAGGTTGGCAGTCGACAATGAGTGCGCTTTGATGCACAAATTAGCATTAGCTAACAGATTTAGTGGCACATACGTTTACTTTTTTTGAAGTAGTCGACGTTAGTAGAGGAAGTGACTTGGGCGGCTGGTATTTGTGCCAATTGCATGGATCTCCACACAAATGAAATTAATTAATTTGACGCACTACAGTCACATTGACGTCCGCTGCGGCATTAACCCTTTCATGCACCCTGTAACCTGATAAGCTGTCCACTTTAGTAACCGCTGTCCCTGAAATGGTTAATGCAACATTGGCATCGAGACAGGTGTTCACAAAATTCATGGATAGATTCTACCATCCCTCGGCTGCAAACTTAAATGCTGATGGCCGAGAAGTGAATACAATTACATTACACGTGCTATCCAAGACAAAATGTCAGAATGTATCCGTCCATTTTCCAATCCGCTTTATCCTCACAAGGGTCGCGGGGGGTGCTAGAGCCTATCCCAGCCACCTACGGGCAGTAGGTGAGGTACACCCTGAACCGGTTGCCAGCCAATCACAGGGCATACACAGACGAAAAACCGTCCATGGTCACAATTACACCTATGGACAATTTGGAGTGTTCAATCAGCCTGCCATGCATGTTTTTGGAATGTGGGAAGAAACCGGAGTACCTGGAGAAAACCCATGCAGGCATGGGGACAACATGCAAATTCCACACAGTAAGGCCGGAGCCGGGATCGAACACACAACCTCTGCACTGTGAGGTCAACGCGCTAACCACTGAACCACTTGGCCGCCCTCTCAGTATTTATGCAGCCTCTAAACAGGAGTTGCTTGTGGAGGCTCTCAGTCGTACAGGAAAGTTCCATCGTAGAAAGGGTTCTGTCAGTCGTCATCTGTACCTGTGGGTAAAAAACAAAAAAAGCAAAAAAAGCGTGGCCACGCTCAGCTTTTTAGCGCAGAGCAACTTCCCGGAGTCTTCACGGAGACTTCAGGGTTGTCTACCGCTGACGAAGCTTCTGTGAGAGAAGCGAAACGTCCTTTTTTGCTTTTTTTGTTTTTTACCCACAGGTACAGATGACGACTGACAGAACCCTTTCTACGATGGAAACAGGAGTGTCAGAAGACTATTCACACACATTGCTCAACGGACACCACGAAGTTGTGGCTACTTTATTTATTGTCAACTAGTTCAGTTGGGCAATAGGCTTGATTGCCTTTCTGAATGTCTTTCTGACTTGCTGTAACTTTCTTGATACAAAGCAATATATGTTTAATTGTCATACAACATTGTTAAAAATATTGAAATATAGATACCACACATCTCTTAGTATTTTCTGTCATCTAGAATCAAGCTAAAAATCCCCCCCCCAAAAAAAACCCCAAAAACAAAAAAAAACTTTTGATTGGAATTATAGCCATTGTGGAAAAACGTTAAATGCTCATCCCTAAAATGGGAAGATCAAGTTTTAGCAAGGGTCGTGAATTATGATGTTCCCCAAAATACCCTGCTTTTGATAACTGAGACTAAATTGTTGTTTATAAGTAAAACTGTAGGACCCATTGATAATAACATACCTTCAATACATCACTCCATTGACGATAAAGACTACATTGCTGTTTTGTTTTTTGACTGTTTGTGTCAAGATGTGACATTGCTCCTGAACTAATATGAGTATTGTTATGCAATGAAAAGGTTCTTTAGAAAAGCATGAGTTTCCCTTTCCATGGAATTACACATAAAATGTGTTTGTCGGCTCGTGTCAGGAATTATATGGTGGTACAATTTTTCCTCTCCTCACCTTCAATAATTCCCCACTTGGTTTTACGGCCCAACACCTTATTTCCGTTCACCTGGTGTTCCTTGTCAGTCCCCACCACCGCAAAGGGAATATTTTCCTGGATACAAAAATACAAATACATCTCACTCACCCTCATTTGAGAATGAGTAACAGTCATATCGTGATGCCGAGATGATTCTCAGGACGCTGATTCAAGTCATGTTTTGGTGCTCTGGTTAAGTCTCAATAAGTACAGTCAACATGTCTATTGGGGCGGCGTTGATTAAACCCAATTTACATTCACAGTTTACCATTTCAGATGGCAATATGAGCTCAAACACTCAAAATGTGTTTCATTTAACGATTAGCTAAAAGGTCATTTCTTTTGAATGGGTGGTTTAAAAACTTTAACAGCAGGTGATGTTTTTCCTGAGCTGAACCCTTGGCTAAACCCTTGGCACTGTACAAAGAATGCACTGCCAACACATTTCCTGCTTTCTTGTGGCCAAGGAAGAACAGGGGACTAGGTTCCTACCCTAATCCTGTCATTGAGGAAGCGCTCCTCTGGATCCTCATCGTACTCTTTCTGGGGATAGACACGAATCCCGTGGCCTGCCAAGTCTTGCCTTATCTGTTAATGAGTCAAAGGTAAAACACAGGTCAACTTGGGGATCGAATAGATGGATGTGTACTTCAAGGAGTATAGGCATATATGTCCTCACCCTCTCCTTGAACTCCTGTCGTTCCTCAATGGTAAGAGTGTCTGCTTTGGCAATCACAGGCACAATGCTTACTATCTTTCCCAACCTCTTCATGAACTCCACATCGATGGGACGTAACCTTGACACACAGTACATCGCTGGTTAATTTGGAAAAAGACAAGCAGAAAAAGCCAAGAGAAACTTGGACATTTATTGTTGGATCTATGCATTACTGATTAGGTAAACCAAGTATTTTAGGACTTGCATGTTATATAAGTTTCATCAACATAAAATAGTTGGTCATACAGTAATAGTTTGGGATTTTTCATTACAGTTTTATTTTGTGTGTTACAACTGTGCAAAAAAAAATCTGATTTTCATTAAAAAAAAGGGTGATCTTGCACTTTTTCAAAAAATGTCAAATTACAGTACTAAAAAACAAATAAATTAATAATAACTAGTTCATGTAGAGAAAAAATAATGAGACATTTGGATTCCACATCCGAAATGGCCCTAGAAAATGTTGTTGGCTACTTTGTTTATATTTACGTAAGTGTATATTTTGATGCAGACCAGTGTAATGTTTTCTACCCTTATTGAAATGAACTCACAGTTTGAGTATACCTCAAGAATTTGGGGAGTTTGTTCCACAGGTGAGGCACATAATAACTAAATGCTGCTTCACTTTGTTTGGTTCTTGTTCTGGGAACATATGATAGACCTGTCCCAGATGACCGAAGGAGTTCTGGATGCTTTATAGGGGACGAAAATATCTTGCATGTATTTTGTTGCTACACCATTTAAAGATTTATAGACTAACTGCCAGTTTTTAAAACCTATTCTTTGACTCACAGGTATACAGTGTAGTGATTTGAGGACAGGTGCTATGTGGTCCAGTTTCTTAGTGTTTGTAAGGACCCCGGCGGAACCATTTTCTCTCAGTGCCCAGTTGCCTGATTGACTTTTTTATTATGACCTGTCGAGACACCATTACAGTAATCTAGCCTACTGAAAATAAAAACATGGACACGTCTTGACAAAACATAAAACAAACAAAAAAAAAACAAGCTATGTTTTTAGGTAAGAGAGAGATTGAGTAATACAGTAATACTTCGCCACTTCGCACTTCATGTTCTGTGGCTTCAGTGCTTCACATGTTTTTCCAAAATATTGTATTTATATGAAAAAATAAATAAAAGTTCATCTAAAAATGAAAAAAAAATACAGCCATATCAGCAGCAATATTGTGGAAATATTCACTATTTCATGTTGATGCGCGAGAAGGAAGGTTTCCCTGCCGAACAACTCAGAAGCTTCGTACATGCCTGTACTGTACTGTACATACCACGGGCACTCATTCAAAGCGCATGAATGGTTCCCGGCCTGACATCGACCAATGAGAGCACAAGTGGATTTATTCTGTGACCTGATTGGCTGTGCATTATCGCAGCCTCACCCATCACCTTCCCTTGATTCTTGTCACGCTGTTGTCTGTCTCGCATACTGTATCTTAGTGTTGTGTTCACGATAACTTTTTTTGTTTCAGCGCTAGCTTTTTTTGATTAGTTAAGATGAGCTCCAACCCCCTGTTGCCGCAGAAGCAATGCGTCCCGGGTGCGTAGGAGCATACTTGTCCTTCCACAAAGATGGCACCAACAACAGGGACATGGACATATCAACGGCGGTTGCAGGGGGCTGATTCACAGGCTTGACCGGGTCGGGGAATCTTATTTTGAAGGTTTCCCGACCCGGTCAGCTGTTTTTTTAGACACATCATAAGGAAGCAGTGACAGCTCAGATGAAGGCTGAACTGTCAGCTAGGTAGGAGGTTTTTTCTTCAGTAAAAAAAGACCATTGGCTGATAAAAAAGAAACCGGAGACCTATTTCAACTAATAAGAAGACACAATGAACGTCATAGCGCTAACCATCACCATGTTTTTCTCCAATTTAAAAACCTCCAAGAGAAAGAGTCTCAGAGTGAACCTTAAAGCCTGTACAAGTCAAGTGAGAAGGCAATGTTGATGAATATTAATTACTGTATCAGGTTTTATAAATAACGATTTAAATAAATTTGTGTACTGTTGTAATCTTTATCTCAAATATGTAAACTTTACATATTTACATTGAAAAGTATGAATACTGCTTACATATTTTAAACATGCTGGTACCCACATAGACAAAAATCCCTGGGGGTAGGGGTGTAGGGCAAATCGCAAAAACCAAGGGATTACTGTCGTATTTAAGTGGTTGCTTAAAATTCAGGTCGAAGTAAATAATTACAGCAACATTTCTGGCTTGATTTGTAATTTTCAATGCCATAGAGTTAAGGTGAGTGCTGATCTTAGCCCTTTCATTTTTGAGGCCAAAATAAAATCCCTTCTGTCTTTTCTGGACTGAGCTGGAGAAAATTCTGGTCCATTTAAAGTAAAAAAACTACCTATAGTCATGTAAGGACACTGAAATGTAAAGTTGTGTCTTATCTGCATAAGTATGATTAGCGATATTATTCATTCATTCATACATTTTTCGAACTGCTTTATCCTCACAAGGGTCGCGGGCGGTGCTGGAGCCTATCCCAGCTGTCTTCGGGCTGTAGGCAGGGAACACCCTGATCCGGTTGCCAGCTAATCGCAGGGCACACAGAGACGAACAACCATCCACGCTCACACTCACACCTAGGGACAATTCATTCATTCATTCATTTTCCGAACCGCTTTATCTTCACAAGGGTGGCGGGGGTTGCTGGTGCCTATCCCAGCTGTCTTCGGGCAGTAGGCGGGGGAAACTCTGAATTGGTTGCCAGCCAATCGCAGGACACACAGAGACGAAAAACCATCCACGCCCACACTCACACCTAGGGACAATTTAGAGTGTTCAATCAGCCTGTCATGCAGGTTTTTGGAATGTGGGAGGACACCGGAGTACCCGGAGAAAACCCACGCAGGCACAGGGAGAACATGCAAACTCCACACAGGAAGGCCGGAGCTGGAATTGAACCGGGTACCTCTGCACTGTGAAGTCGACGTGCTAACCACTCGACTACCGGGCCGCCCTTGGTCAGCATACAATGCTACGATATATTTTAATGTGTTGTTTTGCCCCTTTACGGACAATTTTACACAGTATACTGTTGTACTATATTGTAGTTGGTGAGTGAGGGAAACAAGAACAGGGTGGAGGTTTTTTTTGTGACGTGACAGAAGGCACTATCTCCCAACATTATTCATCATCTTTGAGCTCCGATAATGTGACAAGTAGGTTTTTGGTCCTCACCCTCAAAACCCTCATTGCTTTGATTGGGAAAAATCAAAGCAAGGTGAAATAGAGTGGCAGCACAAATAACTTGCATTTAACATCATTACAGAAGACATGAGAGGCTTGGAAGATTGGATTGTACTGCTGAGACCACCTGAAGCTGATATTGTTCCCTCACTTCTGCTCTCCAGGAAGTTCCTTTGACTATACAGTATAGTGTTTTGTTTTTTTTAATCTCTGACTTGCATGCTTGTAGCAGTTAATGCATGCAATTAATGTGCACGTTAACTGTGCGATTTGACAGACATACTTCCAAATCACACCCAATCGTTCGAATTTAACTTTGGTGGAATTTTGTTGTGCATCTTAAGCATTAATGTGCAACAGAACACAATTTTATACAAGGAGTATGTAGCGCAGCATATAAATTCCTCATAGGTGTAGATCTGTTTATTATTGTTTTGTTGTACAGCCATTTTAACCTGCTGTCATACCTCCCGTCCAGAAGGTGTCGTAAGAGTTCTTTTTGTTGATTGCTACATGAGTAAGCCTGTAACACGTTCTTGGTGCTGCTGGAGTAAAACTATTTTCAAGCACCTAAACGGACTGGTTTCTTCATATCAAAACTACATGGTGTCAGAAGTGGGATCCTTCAAAAAGTCTGCAGGGTCCACGAAGACAGTCTGTGCTGGTGGTGAGCAAAAAGGACGAGATTTTACCTCCGTGAAAAGGCAGTAATGGCGGACGGATTTCGGCGGCCTGATCCTCTCATCTTCGACGGCAATGTCGCTGAGAACTGGCGTAAGTTCGAGCAAGAATATGATATATTCATAGCCGCAGCACACAGTGACAAAAAATGCCAAAACAAAGGCCGACATACTCCTCAATCTGGCGGGAACAGAGGCCATTGAAAGAGAGAGATCGTTCACATATTCCCCAGCAGTTGTGTCAGATGCAAATATGCAACCCAGAAACAAATATAATCATGGAGAGGCACAGTTTCAACGTGAGACAACAAAAGCCAGGGGAAACGATTGAAGCTTATGTGAGTACATTACGCAACATGGCAAAAACGTGCAATTTTGGAGCATTACAAGATGAGCTAATCCGAGACCGATTAGTGTGTGGAATCAACAGTGATAGCATCAGACGTTCACTTCTTAAAGAAACTGAGCTGACACTTGCCAAAGCAGTGCGCATTTGTCAAATAAACGAGCTCACTGACCAACATAGCAAAGTGCTAGCTGCTCCAAAACACGTGGCATCAACAAGTGTGGACACTGTACAAATGAAGCGCAGCCACACATTGAAAAAGACTCACAACTACAAAAAGAAACAAGACAAAATGGCGACAGAAATCTCAAATTGCAGAAATTGTGGTGGTTCACACGCAGCCAAACGTGACCAGTGCCCAGCTTTCGGACAACAATGTCACACATGCAAGAAGCCAAATCACTTCAAGAGCCAGTGCAGGTACGCTAAAGCACATGCAAGAGGCAAACAAGTCAATCAAATATCAAGGATGATTCAGAAAGTGATGAAACATTCACTATCGAGCACCTAACACTGGAGGGTGAAAATAGTCACAAAAAAGAAGGCTATTGTTCAGTTGCAGTTGGAGACAAGATTCTAAAACTCAAAGTGGACACCGGTGCGAAGTGTAACGTGATTTCTCTGAACACCTGCAAGGACATGTTTCAGCGTGAGAAAATACAGCCACAAGACAAGCTGATCAATCTAATCGCTTTTGGAGGAACAAAGATCAAGTCTGCAGGCACAATCACTCTCAAATGCAAATTAGGAGAAAAGAGCTATGACCTAATTTTCCAAGTTGTGAAACAAAATGTGCAGTCTATCGTGGGACTCAAGGACAGTGTGAATATGAAACTAGTTAGTTTCAGCAAAGAAGTTTTTCACATTGATGCAATTCCAAATGAAAGCTTTGAGGAGAAAGTATTTAAAGAGTACAAAGATCTATTCAAAGATGAGC